GTTGAATAATCTTATTAGTCAATTTTCGTTTTAACTTAACATTCAAATTGAAGAAAAAATTTTTTTCTTCAATTTGATTTTGATATAAATGAAAACTCGATCAATATAAATTCAGAAGTAGTTGAAAATTTACTTTATCTTTCTCTTCTAAACTAACAGTATACATTATGAAGAGTATGTCTATTAGAAAGAAAGTCAAATATATACCTGAAACACGATAACTGCCTGTAATGAAGGAGAAACGCTATCACTCGAAAATCAAAACATGTTTACGAATATGTGACACTTTATACTGTTTTTTTCTCTGTAGCAATGAATAACTATGACATTTTCTATCAATGCGTTTCATTGTCATTATACCAAGTAATAACTACTCGATATAGTTAGCCGTACTTTGATCTCCATGTCAAACAGACATTACAAAGCTTTATTTTGAACCCAAAATGCCTATACATTTTCGTGCTGTTACAAGATTCTTATTCAAGTATATATATATATACGAAAACGAGGTAATTTTTGTTAGATAAGTATCCAATCAATACAAAAAAGAACCTTGATCTTTTTAATGTCGAATAAATGTAGAAGCACTGGTGTGTATCGTTATGATTCGTTTTTTTACCTTTTTTCGCTAATGACGAACATGGTTATTGTTTATCCATTGGTCTAAAATCAACATTTATTTGATCGGATTGAATCAGTGTTTCGTCTGTATGATACTATCTGAAGAATGGTGACAGTATTTTTTTTTCTTTTCTATTATATTTTTTTTCCTTTCAATCAATACGACAATGACGACGACAAAACGCAATTTTCTCCCTTTTTATTTTTTGCAAAAAAAAATAAATTATTAACACAAAGAGAATGCATTCAAGCGGATGATTTATCCAAAAAAAATGCGATAGAATTGTATTCATACACAACGGTATTCGTCAAACTAATCGAGAAACTATTGTGAAATTTGAACAACTTAAAGTAAATTAAATGAAAAAAATATGATTGATAAACAAAAGCTGTTTATTTCTATAGACTTTCTAAGGACAATAGTACTTTTTTTTTTCTTTATTGAATTTATCGATCCCAAAAAACAATCAATACATGATGAATATTGTTGTGTATTATTTATCATAAATAAAAATCTAGCAATACTAGAAAAAACAAAAAGATTTTCATTTATTTTCAATTGAAAATAATATTTGATTGAATTTTATACCCATTGTATTATTATGTTTTAACGAATATTTTTTCCAATAATCTAGTTTTTATGAATCGATCTGAACCAACTTGTTTTTACACAATGCCCTAATCGCTCTTCACATTTGTAGAAAATAAAATTAGTCATTCGCTTGATTCTGTTAGGAAAATATAGGATCTGAAAATTTTCAAATGTCGTAAAATGGGATCACGACCTACACGTCCGTTCAGATCTCTATTTAGAAAGTCATCTCAGAAAAGACATAAAAATCTCATTATTGCCATGAATGAGAGAGCCTAATCTAGAATAAATTTGATCAAAGAAAATAGATTTCAACTTCGCTATTACTGGACAAAAAAAAATCGAGTGTTTATTCCAATAATTACTTCTTGCTATATGTTAGGTGAATCTTTTGACGAGATTTAGAAAGTTTGACTTGAAATTTCTATTTATTTCTTCTTCTACCATCGCTTGATTCTAGTAGCAAAATGAAGACAAACGACTTGACTGTTCAGAAAATAATCATGATATACAAATCAAATGCAATATAATATATAATACGTACTATTATAGTAGAAAAGGCCACAAAATTATACGCTAAATGGTAATCTTTGACATTCTATTTGAGGTCTAATCTGACAGTACAAATGTTTTTTTTTTTCTAGAAAACTTCATGTGTAAATTTATGTGTTTGGGGATGATATGGTTTGGTGGATTCGGTCTCACGATGTGTTGGAATCCATTTGATACAGTTTGTTTCATATGACTTGAAATGTGATAAAACTAGTCTAATGCAGACAGAGAATAACCCATAACTTAATGTTTCTATATAATCTTTGAGTGCTCGTATGAAGTCTTTCAAATGACATATTGTTGAATAATATCTTCTGTTATAATAATAACTAATATAAACATGAGAGTGTGAAAATAAATTTTTCGCAGTTGATCAACCATATATTTAATCAACAAAAATGAAAAACACTCTTATATAAATCTGATTGTACAAAAATCTTATTAAACAATTACATATTGTTGTTCATCATTTTATATTAATTCGCGAAGTCTCTTAAAAATTTCATCAATAATCACAAGTTAATTTTTTTCATTGTTTATTTGATCTACGTCTTAATTTTCGAAAGCTTGAAAATTCTTCTCTCGATACTTTTTTCTTTAATATTCTCCATACACTTCAACCCTTGAAGGACGGACTTTTTTTTAATAAAATAAATAAAGCCCTAATGTCAAAATCAGTTACAGTCTGAAAAGTATTACCTATCATGATTGTCATACTTGCTTTTACTCCCAAGACACAAACAGACAGGTTTGAGATAGAAAAGGAAAAAAAAGACTCAAACAATCTACTTTAACAAATCCAAAGTGTTGCGTTTTCTGTTGAAACTTTCAAACTAAATATATAGGGGCTTCGTTTCCAAAGGATTAATTGAGCTATACTTCAGTAAAATTAGCTTCACCGTGGTGCAGTAAAACTCGATTATTAAATAATTCATCAATAGTTCAAAATATAATCACTATGCTTTGTTTTTGATTCTGAAAGTGATTTATTGAGCACTCTATATATCCAAATGTACTCAAAATTATTCGTACACCTTACTTTTCATATAAGAAAACGCTATCAGGTTCATCAAAAGAAGGAAATTGAATTAGCTTCACGTTCAACTTTCTGAAATACAATTGAATCTCTCGATTGAGTATAGTTAAATATAACCAATAATAGTATTATGTCTTTTTTTTCTAATATCAAAAGCGGAAAGTACCATGATAAATTTTTATTCTTTTAATTGTTTTCTTCTAGTATAATTCTATTAATATCGAGTTGGAAAGCTTAGTTGATTTATGCATTCTTCTTTCAATTTGATTCCATTCTTGTAACAATATTGTTTTAGCTAATATTCATTTTTTTGATGATGTACATTTTCAAATTCGGCAATCAAGTTCGATCCATAAATGGTCAATAAGATTGAGATCAGGACTTAGTGATAGTCACTTGAGACGCTTTTGTGCCAAACAATTTGATACAATTTATGCTCAATGTTTAACGATCATTATCATGTTGAAATACAAAATTTGATCCTAACCATAATTTTCGAGCTGATAGCAATAGGTTTCCCTTCACAATCTTTTTTGTATTTTTTCACCTGCTAAAGTCTCATCGATAAAAACCGGATTTCCTGTTCCTTTTCGACTGAATCGACCTTACACTTTCAGATTATCTCTATGGTATTTAATTGTTGGTGATATACAATCGAGACTATGTTCTTCACTAACTTTTATCCAAGCTATTATTTTGGAACTGGAATGAAATAAATTAAATTTGACTTCATCAGATCATATGATGTTGTCCTCAAGGTAATAAGTATTCTCAGCGTATTTTACTACACAGTTTAAGCTTTTTACTTTATTAATAATAATCCTGAATAACCAACTTCTTTCATTCAGCATTTTATTGGTGCCGTAGATACTGTTATTTCTCATTGATTTTCTATTTCAGCCTTTTGCGATACAGATGATTTTCGTCGTTAATCACCTACTCTTTCTGTCATAATTCTCTTTCTTCCACGATCAGAAAGGTTTTTTACGCATTTGTACATTTTATATCTCTTGAAAATATATTGAATCATTGTTCGTGCAATATTCATGTACCCTCACAATGTCACCTAATGAATCGTCATTTAAATACTGATTAATTATCAAAGTTTGAAAGTCTTCTGAATATTTTTCTTTCTTTACGTACCATAGCTCATTTTACTAAAAATCAAATAGTTATATTGAAGAGTGAGAGAAAGGATCTTCACAGAAAAGGATAGCAATATAATTCGAGCATGAAACAGTGAATGAAGGCTGTAAAAGACCAAGAGAGAGAGAAGTAAAACGTCAACATTTGTAACCTGTCTGCATTGAATGAACAAGACAAAGAAGGCTTAGGATACACAAACATACAAACGAAGATAACAGATGAGGTGTACTAATATTTTTGAGCGTCTTTGTATATATATCAATTTATAAGTCTCGATAAAATTAATCAGATGATTTATAAATTATCCAATTTTTGTTATGTGAAAAAGACTCTTGTTGATAAAGTATCCCTAGAATTCTCGTTTCTTTTGAAACGAGAATCTGGTGAGAATGTTGGTTATGGTGAAAAATAATATAACCTTTGATTCTTTTTCACTTTTTTTTCGTACAATATTACAATAGGATTTAAGTGCACTTATATTCATCAAACATAGCTTATGAATTATCGTTTATAAATGACATTAGACTCAAAATTCAATTTAACTTGTGCTAGATTTTTACGATAAAGAAAAATATGAACTATTCAAGTTTTTTGCATTTCAAATGTGCTGTTATCAATACTTGTAGTACTCAGTAATGCCTTTAAACTTTCATTTATAGTTCAGCAGGAAAATTTACTTGTCTTGAAGAATATATGAATAAGTTTATCATAATTAATTAAATATAAACGAAAAATGATTCATTCATTACGATTGTGAAATGAAATGAAAAAAGATTAAAGCATTACGAATCATCCAAGCAGTAACAAATATGTATATATGATGAGAGATATCTTAATGACGTATAAGAAACTTATTTTAAAAAAAGTAGAAATCGTCATGTTTGAATGAATTGACCTGTAAGATACGAGTTAAATAGATATATAATGATGAATATGTTAACATAAAAGTAGTCGAAGCAATAATTTATGTTTCATATAGAGTTTTTAAAGAAAAAAATGTTGTTGTTTTTTTGTAGCTCTTAAAAAATAATTAATAGTTCTTCTAATTGTCTGTTATTTTGGTGAACAAATTCTTCTTCCAAATTGATCAGTTCCAGTTTCATAATATCCATCTTGACAGACACATTCATTAGTGGTGGCATCTGGTTGTGTACCTTGACCACAACTCCAAACACATCGACTATCCGAAGTAACAACATGATATGGTTTTGGACAAACTTTAAAACAAAACAATACAAATTGCCAATAATATACAGTAGCTAATAAAATGTAATGAACTATCTCAGAAATTACAAAATAGGTTCTGAATCAAGTAAATATCTATCAATCACGAAAAAGAATCTCTAGGTGAACTCTCAAAAACAGAGCGCACAGTTTCAATAAATTTATCTATAGAAAAAACACTTACTAGTACAGACTCTTCTGCCAAATTGATCAGTTCCAGTTTCATAATATCCATCTTGACAGACACATTCATTAGTGGAGGTATCTGGTTGTGTGCCTTGACCACAACTCCAAACACATCGATTATCCGAAGTAACAACATGATATGGTTTTGGACAAACTTTAAAACAAAACAATACAAATTGTCAATAATATGCACTAGCTAATAAAATGTAATGAACAATCTCAGAAATTACAAGATAGATTCTGAATCAAGTAAATATCTATCAATCACGAAAAAGAATCTCTAGGTAAACTCTCAAAAACAGAGTGCACAGCTTCAATAAATTTATCTATA